GGAGCTCCTGATGGATTTGAACAGCCAACCCTTTGGTTAGCAGCTGTAGCTCTTAACCACTACTCCACCAGGGTTTCCACAAAGACAATACAGAAATGCAAAAGTTATCTGGAATAAGGAGTTAAGTGGAAAGGGTGAATTGAACTAAGGAGAGTTTGCCATAGGATGATACAATCTTGCAAAGATTTTAACTGTAGAATAAAATTACCAATTTCCTCTTGAAGTTTTCCTGAAAAAAAAAAATGAAAAACTCCATTTTAATGTCACAGGGAAAAAAAAAATAAACTTGCTAGGCAGGACCACCCACAATGACATGAGATTATTAACGTAAAAAAATGAACTCACTTTTCTCTTCCAAAATACGTGCTAAAAAAGAAAGGAAAATAAGAAAAACACATCACTTATTTACTTAGATAAATAATTTTATGGTATATATCCAAGGGGGCAAGTATTAAATTCATGAATGAATTGCTCTTCATGGACTATTTCAGACTGCTAGTATTCATAAATATCATCACCCACCAGGTTGCCACGTTATATTTATATAGCATCTGGGCAAGGATAGCTACAAATCATTCAGTGCTTCCAATGAGTAGGTACTTAACTGAGTGCTAGCAAAAGCACTGCAACAGTGCTTCTCAGTCTATTAAAGAAAGATCTGAGGGTCAGAGGGTTCAATAACATGACAAAGTTCCTACTGTTAAACTGAAAAATGGAGACTCCTAACCACTATGCAAAATGGATGACAGTGCTCCTGGACCAACCAGCTGAGGTTTCAGTGACAAGGCAGAGAATATTGGCATCTTTTTCATGGAAGTGTTTAGTGCATTTATTTAAGGAGTGTCTTGCTTAGAAGAGTTTTTCTTAGAATGACAGTGTGAGCACAGCAGGCACCACAAGAGTTCTGCCAATGCATTCTCACATCAGAATTTCCCCCATCTCAGGGTGGGCAAGAGGAGTTCTTGTTAGCATCATGAAGAAAGATGAACAAATAGTACGTTAGAAAAGCACAATGGAAAGATGGGAAAAGTGAGTTAACTGATGGGAGAAGTACAAAGAGGAGAGAAGTGGATAGGGAAGTTATAATGTGATCCTGATTGAAAAGT